TGGGGTGTTAATGCAAATACTAACTGGGTTGTCACGATGTTACACTGGATTTGTCCAAGGGAAAAGTTTGATGAGCGGATAGATTTTTATTAGAGCATATTAAAATGAAGTCGGAATGTTTTGTTGAAACCAGAGAGTTTACTTTCAACTAGAACAATTTTCTCACTAAACCGAAGCTCAGTTCTGTTATTCTATTTGTTTTTGTTCATTGTTTTAAAAAATTATCAGAGCTCCGGTTGTTCTTGGTTTTATTTTTAAGAACTACATTTTCCCCCTTTTAAATCTGTAGATGGCGTATTTTTTCAGGGTTCTTCAGAATGGGTTGTAAAATTTTTATTTTGATACATCCCCTTTTAGTCCCATACTCACAACCCAGATGTCTTTACATTACATTGTTCTGCATAAGGATATTCATATAGTAATTTCAGTTTTTTTGTATAGGAGTTAGTGTATTAAGTATTTTCTAAGAATTGTGTTCCTTCGAGCATTCACATATATTAAAACCTTCTTTCGGTCATGTTGATAAATAGCTCTGTTTATCTTACAATTTTTCTTGGTTGTGGGAGTGCACCTCATCACAGAATGTGTTGTTAAAAGAAGAAAAGGAATTAATTTATTACATTAATACATGAAGTGTAAACTTTGGCTTGGTGCAATAGCTTCTTGTCAGATTTCGGGGATCATGGGAATGTTAAGATGATTCCATTATTTTGACGAATGCCTGATTTCACCATGATCCATGATGAAGCACAAATGACAAAGTTGTTGGTCTGTCTCTCCGGCTGCTGAGAACTTGTGACTCCTGACTTTCGATATACCCCCGGGGCAGTGCCACTGACTGAAATGTCTTTAGGCCATTCCCAAAGGGGGGACATATCTCGTTCAAGCACAGTAGAATTGTAAATGGGCTGATTCATTTCACGCTCATAACTGTGCCTGATCTACTTCCTCTTCTTCTTTTGTATGTTTGTCACTCCCTTGTGACCTGCTATTTTGGGATGCCTTGATAGTCGAAGTAGACCTTGTGTTGTTGAAGCTAGAGAGGTGAGCAGTCTAAATCTGATTCCCTGTAAAGACACCTCTGTTGACACCCATCCCTTGGCGATCATATGACCTTATGCAGTTGCGAACGCTGTAAAACCCTCTACTATAAAAAAAAAAAAAAAAAAGACTTTAGATATACATACAAGATGGAAGTCTGAGAGTTCTCATCTCACTGTTGTTGTCTTGTTGGGATGAGAATTGCAACTTCTCCTTACTATATTTGTTTTGGGACCATTGCCTTAGTAAAGTGCATTAGTGTTTGTGGTGTAGTGATACGATGCCTTGCCGCAGCATGCAGAAGACCTGAGTTCGATTCTCGAGTGAGCTTAATTTTTATTGAATATTTTGGTACTTCTGCTTGGGATGTTTTTCTTCCTATCAGCCGGAGTTGGTCCTTACAGTCAGGGTCAGAAGCCTGCCTTCTAAATATCTAAATTTTGTCAAGGAGGGTGTAAAAACATCTACATAAAAAAATAATGAGGCGTATAGATGATTGAGGGCGCCACTGATAGGTCCTATTTCTTTGCTATCCCTATGTAGTTTCTGTCTGTCTAAATGGCTGTTATTGTTTCAATGTGCTTCTCGTTACTCCCTCCAAAAAAGGATTGTTTTTTTCTAAAACAAAAGGAATTTAGTGTAGTCATGAATATGGTGAATTGTTGCCAGATTTTATGTGTTTGAAGCGTATAGCAAAATATACTCCCCTGTTATTGATCTAAATGTTTTAGCTTTGCATTTATTTTATTATTGCTTGTTGTATCTGTGGTAAGCAAGTTGCACAGAAAGGATTATTTTTCTTTTTTCTTTCTCTGCACTTTTAAATCTGATCAGGTTTTTTTTTCTTTCTAATTTTTAAAACATGTTATCACCAAATATTACGCATCGGTCTAGTTTTTTGGCTTTGTCTTTCATTTTGACAACTTTTAATGCTGTACTGAAAAAAACCCCCAAAACAAAACAAGCAAAAGAAAGCATGAGGTTCACTTTGCCAATTAGCTGTTTCTGCTCCAACTCAAGTTGCTCACAGATCACTTGTGTCTGGAAGTTCTTCTTGCCTTACTGACGAGTGAATAATTTTGTTTTATGGTAGTTTTTCCTCTCCTCTTTTTGCTTTATTCTAAAGCTTAAACTTGATGATGTATTGTCTTTATTTGTCAGTTGGCCATATTATATTATGACAAGTTGTGTGGTTCACATTTACAGGTCACTTGTCACAGGAAGGTTTCTTAAAGTTCCTCATGAGTGAAGACAACAATGTGGTTCCACCGGACAAGTTGGATCTCAGTGAAGACATGGACCAGCCTCTGGCTCACTACTTCATCAATTCCTCACACAACACCTACTTGACTGGTCAGTTCCTGTCAGATTGCAAAAATTAATAGATATATTAATGGTTCAAGGGAGATTTTGTGCTTTATTTTTTTTCTTTTCTATATCTTAAAATTTATTTATTGGATTTTATTTTAACTTGTTGTTACCCCCGGGGCAGTGCCACTGACTGCAGTGTCTTTAGGCCATTCCAAAAGGGGGACATTTCTCGTTCAAGCATAGTAGAATTGTAAATGGGCTGACTCATGTCACGCTCATAACTGTGCCTGATCTACAACAGGGAACTGCTGCTTTTTCTTTCATGATCCTTACTATTCTCATTTTCCTCTACTTCTTTTGCATGTTTGTCACTCTCTTATGACCTGCTATTTTGGGGTGCCTTGATAGTCAAAGTAGACCTTGTGCTGTTGAAGCTTGAGAGGTGAGTAGTCTAAGTCTGATTCCCTGTAAAGACTTCTCTCTTGACCCCCACCCCTTTGCGCTTATATGACCTTATGCAGTTGCGAGCGCCGTAAAATCCTCTACTATAAAAAAAAAATAACTTGTTGTAGTTGTTTTTTGTTTGTTTGTTGGTTTGTTTGTTGTTGTTATTTTTGTTTGTTTGTTTTTGTTTGTTTTTATTTTATTTTAATTTCTTTCTTTTTGGGGGGGGGGGGGGGGTGGGTAAAAATGAGAACAGAACCCCTGTATGAATGGTTTGGTTATTAAAACTTTGGGATTATACCGTGATTATAATATACAATGTGAGACAGAGACGTTAAAGCCAAAATGCTTCCGAACAATAAATAAAGCAGTGTACCTACAACAACAACAACGGCAAAAACCCACAACAACAACAACAACAACAACAACAACAACAACAACAACAACAACAACAAAAAGACCAAAAACCAAAACAACAGCAAAAAAAACCCCACAACAACAGCAAAAACAACAACAACAATAACAACAATAACGTTCAACCCTTAGCAACACTATAGGTCTATCAAAAAGAAATAAACGAATGTTAAAAAGAAACCTAACAATATTAAAAAAAGAAACAAAACTATGTTAAAAAGAAATACAACCAAACATGAAACTTCACGAAGTGTAACAAAAGGATATCATAATTATGTATGTGAGCAGGGCTGGTGGGGAGGGGTGGGGGGGGGATGGGGATGGGGAGAGAGGGAGAAAAAAATGAGAGATCGGGTAAGAGAGAGAAAGAGTAAGTATGAGAGAGGGGGTGGGGGAATGAAAGCGGTTTAGATGAAGAGAGGCAACCAGAAGAAGAGAGAAAGAGGGTGAAGAGAGAGAGAGAGAGAGAGAGAGAGAGAGAGAGAGAGAGAGAGAGAGAGAGAGA